ACCACTTGGAGATGTGCCCTGGGGGCTAAATTATCTCAGGTTCTTAATTGCGATTCTAGTGGTTTTCTTTTTCATGTCCATTATATTTGTCATATTTTTAGTTTACTTGTACAAGATGAATTAAAATTTATTTGAGATCAGGTCACCAAAATAAAGAAATCACTAATCTTTATTACAAGGATTTGAAGGATTTTGTAATGAACACGAAATGAAGAGCAAAATATTTGTCACTAAAGTAGGTTATAGATGGAATTCAACTTAACTTTTGCTTAAATCTTACGAGGATTCAAGACTCTTATTACTGAATTTAATAACTCCAGAAATACATATCTCGTAGAAAACGATTGACAAAATTTTGATTGGAAAATTGTATTTAAAGTGAGAAAATTTTTTGACAATTTTTTTGGAACCACTAATCAATTGTAAGGTGTATATTATCCTATTAGTCTTGAGATTTTTCCTCTTTTTATTGAAATTAACTTTCAGAGTTCATAGAATAGATCCCGATTTTAGTAATATATTAGTTACGATGGAAATAAAATTTAGAAAATTTCATTTAGCATATGTAATGGATCTTATATATAATATAGAAGGTATAAAACTTGTTATACAACAAATCTCAAATGCATTAAATTTTAAAACTTCAATTGCATATCGCAATAAAGAGAGTTGTTTACGTGAAATGTATCAAATGTTTGCTTAAAGATCCGACACGACTATTAGACGGTCACTCATACAAAGCGCTAATGTACCATTAATAAATAACTCCGAGTTTGCATTATTAAGAATTGTTAGTATTAGTAAAATTAGTATATATGCTAGTACTACTTCCTACAATCGAAGTACATTGAATAATGTGCATGTGGAATACCGATAGAATTAGCTAAATAACTCACTACATGCTTATAATGGTAGAACCGATGGATGCAATAGGTTTAGACTTACTTAAGCTTTGAACAACTAATGAGCTTCAATATCCAGTTATTTTTCTTATATTACGTAATCTATTAACACCTCAGTTAATATATTAGCATAGGAGTCTACTTTTAGTGTAGGTGGCATGATTTTGTCTGAGTACAGATCAAGACTCAAAGATGACATACTAGACAGACAATGTGTATAATGAATTGAGAAGACATAGAGTATCGAGTCCAACATAAATGTCTAAATACTATTTTGTCATGTAAATGATATTTGAGTTTGTAATAATTTGTAATTATTATTATTATTATTATTTTTTTTCAAAAATTGCATTAAAAAAAATTGTTCGCGTACAATTTTAGCTCTACATGTTTTAAAAGTAATCGGTCTGAAACCGAAAAAAAGGTTTTTAAAAAAAAAGTTTTAAAAAAGGGGGTTCTAGTGAGCTCGACTAGGCCACAAGCTAGGATCGAGTCGAGCTCGTGATCATATGCACTAGCTTTGGTCGATTCATTGCCCACCCTAATCTAACGTGCGCATTAGAAGTGCACATGTAAATTGTAACATACGTTTGAAGAGGAGTGAAAGCAACATATGTTGATGCGTTGGGATCCAACCAGGTTCGAAGTTCAATAAAAATAATAACTATTGAAGTATTTCGAAGATAAAAAATTTGCAATAACAAGAGGGATGTTAATATTTGGAGACAGCAGCATTTAAGAAGATCGACGTGAGAAATCAGCATTTGTGTCTAAAAATCCACTTTTATTATGTTACTTTGATTTGGTATATTGTCCCTTTCGACAGATAAAGCCCAATCCAAAGCCCAAGGTTGGAACTCACAAACTTGGAAAAAGAAAAAAAAAAGAAAAAGAAAAAAAAAGAGGTTGAACCCCAAACTTGAGGGCCCTACCGCCTCGCCCCTGGAGTATCGTGAGGGAGGTAAATTACGATATGTGCCCCAACAGGCCAGGGAACAAGAACTTGTCTGTACATTAATACCTACAAAGAGTTTAATTCCATATTTTAGGAATCGGACCCTCACATTAAGGCTGACAGCAAAGTTGAGACTACATCACTCCCGTCCTTTGCACCACTGCGATATACCTCGGGGGCTGGAACTCACAAACTAAATTACATGTTTGGTAGATTATATTGAATTTACAAATAATGTTTTAACCTATCTATCTTCATTAGTTTTGTTATTCCAACATATAAAATACATAAAAGTAGATTTTTAAGTTTATTTGTATTCAACTTGAAAATTAAAGAAAGGCTAAACTGCATTACACTTTAAGCTTTCTAAATGTCCGGTTTGTTAACAAAAAATTAAAAAGTGCGGACGAAGTTGTTTGACTATTTCTTCTCAAGTAATAAATGAGTGAAATTTAATATTTTTACTTTAAAATTGATTTTTACAATGTCTAATCATTTGTTACGTCTTTAAAAGCATAGTTCTTAATGCACCATATCCATATTACTTCGAATAACAGTATTGAAGCAAAATTTGCTAATAGAAAAGATACTCTTATTGTCTTGATATAATTATTATATTTAATAAAGAAGGCGGTTTTTATGGCAAAATTTTGGATTGAATATTAATATGTATCGATTAGTGTTAACCATCTATTCTCAAAGTTTAAATTGTTAGATTAATATGATACATATATTTATTTAAATTCAAGATTCACATCCAGAACATGTACAATTTTCATAGCTTCGTGATGTGAATAGGTTTTGTTGAATATTACAAAATGAACTAAATAATGTTATTTGTCTTCCGGGTGGTTTACAATTTAAAGTGGTCCAAATGTTTAAAATATTTTTTGGCATTTCTATTTTAGAAACGTAACAATTGTATTGATATAAGTGGCAATTGCTATTTGTGTATCTCGTCGAAAATTCGGGAAAAAAAAAAATTAAAATGAGATGTAAAGCGGGTCGATCTAACGCGTTCATAGTGTCCTGATGCTTGGCATGTAGGGCTCGTTGCCACGAGCGTTTTGTACCAAATAGGCCACTGGAAGGAACCAAAAGTCTTTACAATTTTCTACATATTTTTTACTGATTTTCTAAGAGGAAATTATGCTTTACATTCCCACAAGTTTCAAAATTCTATAATTACTACCAAATGAATTTAATTCTATAATTATGTAGGTGACGGTGGTGTTATGTAATACAAATTTTTATAAGTAATAGTGATGGTGGAGGTGAAAAAAGCCTGCGATGGAAAGTGTAACACAATTTGTTACAAGTGATAGTGACGTTAGTGGTGGAAATGGAGATAGACGAGCGGAGTATTGATACACACTTTGGCAAAATGTTTCATAAAAAGATAAAATAAAAATAAATAAGAAAAATGTATTTTGAGAATAATAAAAACCGTATTATTTTTTTAGTGTATTCGTGAACTATCCCAATTTCTTAAAAACAAATAAAAATGCCCGTTCAAGATTGCATTCTTTTCGAACTAGCCCAATTCACGAACCAGCTTATCTCAAACTCGACCAAATTTACACCTCTAAACAAATAGAGATTCGTCGAACAACTCCACCACCACCACATAGAGAAAAACGAGAAAGTAAAGATGATAAGGCTGAGGCTCATTCTCGGCCCACGTTCTAATGGGTCCACATGCCTATTGACCCCTCAAGAAAGCCCAAAAACAACCCATGATCTCTGCTTTGATTTGGGTCAGCTCGATTTTCAATCTACCTCTCTGTGTGGGCCCGTTACTAATGACAGGGCCCACTAGTCTCGTGTCATGTTCCTTTAACTCTGTCAACTCCAAAATTATGGAACTTATGGCGTTTGATCCTTAAAAAAGATTAAATTTGTCTTTTGGTTTCATTTTCTTATTTCTTTTCCACCATAATTATCTTCCACTTAAAGAAATTGTTCAAACATTTTCTATACGTAGCATGCAAACAGATGTCGGCACATCAAAGATACATCAACTTCATATCGTTTTCAATAAATATGTTAATTTATTATTTTCTAGTATGAGTCGAATAGTTTGAATAAAAACGTCAATTTTATATTCATCTGTTTAGTTCTGTATAAAAAAGAGAAAACATAAATTAACATTACCTATTAGACAGTTTAGGCACGCGTGCATTTGAAATAGTATCTCAATAAAACTTTCTTTTTTTGTTCAATGAATCATACACTCGGATATATTTTAAAGGATTCACGTAGAATCGTTATCCTATGTTATACTAAAATATCGCCCTTCACAATATTATACTTCGATGTCATTTAAAGTTTCTTGAATAACGTGAAATATTTTATAATTCGCATGGGACATTGAATTCAAATGCAGGCCACTGAAGCTGCTTTCAGGAAGTAGCTGCAGCTGTTGCCAGCTGCCTACAGGCTATTTCAAGCAGCCGCAGCAGTTGCTTGAAGCAACAACGGCTTGTATGTTGCTTCTTGGCTTGAGACATGGGCCTTTTTGGCCTACTGCATTGGCGTGCTCGGCCTCGGGTAGTCACCCAAAAACGAATCTTAGCGAGAGCCTTGGCTCAGTTCCATCGAGTTTCGAGTCGAGCTTTTTATGGGTCGAGTCATGGATCGTTCAAGTTGAAGAGCAGAATTGACATCTCTAATTATGTGAAAAGATTAATGCCGAGAAAATACAATTAATTATGAATGTATACTTGAAATCACAAACCTTGTCTGTTGAAGTCATATCAAACGAATTGATTAACAATTAGACCAAACATTATTATTTGAAATACACGTGGCGTGTTTAACATGTATTAGACATTATTTCAAAAAAAGAAGAAGAGCTTTTATTATTTTTATTTAGTTGTATTAGTTTTTTCTAATACTGGATAGTGATCATGTACCTAGTGTTCTAGTTAGAAACTCGACCATTTGGTAAAATTTTTGATTTTCCACGTTTTATCCTTAACTTATCCAACTTCACCACTCTCGAAAAATTGTTTCTTATTTAAATCAAATTTACACAAATATAATACCAAGTCGATTTACTATATTTTGAAGTTTTAATTGAACACCGATTAATCGATCCGATTTTTAAAACATTGTCCTCACGGTCCAGTAAAGTGAAATTCATATGACCGACTACTATCAGCTTATGTCATCAATTCCCTGATTACCCAATATTTCCTCAAAAGGGCAAAATCGTCACTTAAATAAACATGTGAAGCCTATAGTTTGTCGTAGTCATCAATGTAATTATGGTGAAATCCGTGGCTATTTTTAAAGTTCGACATGCATAAAATGGCCCTCTGAAACCCCATTTGAAATCATCCTCACTGAAAAATGCAGAGAAGTTCAAGAATGGGAAGCGTCGGCGTATTGCTGGCGCTGTTTTGTGTGGTTACCAGCCACCTTGCCTCAGCCTTTACTGACGGTGAGTTCAGAAATGTTTCTTTCTTACATATTTGTCTGTCTCTCGGGTCTGGGTTTTGATTTTTAATATATTGCTGTTCGTCTACATTTATTACTTCAATTTGGTCTTCGACAAGCTGAATATTTACCAGCTCTGGACACTTCAATCTCTGTTGATAATAATAATGTTGTGCTTGGATTGTTCGAGGAGGTCATGACTGAAAAAGTCAAAATGAAGTGTTATAACACAACTCTAATTCTTGATTTTTTTTTAGCTTTTTTTATAATAAATTATAGATTAAGAAATTGAGTCCTTTAACAGCAATAGTAAGTAAAAGTACTTAGCCCCTGTTTAGCCATATTTTTATCTTATTAAAATGAAAAATATGACCGTTATTCATCACAGCAAGCCACCATTTTTTAATTTCCATAATGGCTCTATTTCTCATTCTCATTATAATGTGGCTCAATCAGACTTTTAATTTATGTATTCAAGTAACCATATTCCCCTATTTTACACCAAATATTTGGTGCAATTTCGCTCCAAAAGTGCAAATGGTACACTATCACCAATTTGCACCATATTTGATTAAAGTCAAATTTCCACATTTTTTTAGCACCAAATGTTGTTAAGGGTATTTGTGTCATTTTATATTACACATAATTTTTAATTATTATTATTATTATTATTATTATTATTATTTGTAATAAACTTTAATCATGTAATAGAACATTTGTGGATGAATATACAAAATTAAATTACAACACTAGTTCAACTTTGTCATATCATATTATCGGGTTTCAAAATGTATTACGTTGTTTTCTAATAACATGATTCAATATTTTTTTTAGTTGTGGTATTTTTATTAATTGTATTACATTTTTAAAATTCATTAACGAATTTAATATTTTCGTTAATGAAACATAATTATTTATGTTGTAGTAAATTAAGTAAATAAATAATATTTCAGTTATATATAAATTGTTAAGAGTAAAACGCGGAGAAAATGATTAAACATTAGTTTCATTTGGTTCAATTATTGGTGTAATGAGTTGGAGATGATTTTTAGTTTGGTGCAAAACTCACCTCGAATTTTGGTGAAGGGTAATTTGAGGGCTTGATTGTCTCATTCCATTTAGTTCATTTCTGGATCTGCCTTAGTAGCTCTAAATTATGTAAGCACACTGTAGCTTAGATATTAATAGTGTGACTGTGTGTTCTCGCAGGATTACTAGGCAATGGCAACTTTGAAAAGGCACCTAAGTCGTCGGACATGAAAGGAACTGTAGTGCTAAAATCCAATGCAATACCAGAATGGGAAATTTCTGGCTTTGTTGAGTACATAAAGGCAGGGCAAAAGCAAGGTGACATGCTGCTAGTGGTTCCTGAGGGCTATGCTGCAGTTAGGCTAGGAAACGAGGCGTCGATAAAGCAAAAATTAAATGTTACGCCAGGAATGTACTATTCGTTGACGTTTTCTGCTGCCCGTACGTGTGCACAGGACGAGAAGCTGAATGTGTCCGTGGCACCAGATTCTGATGTGCTACCAATTCAAACAGTGTATAATAGTGAAGGTTGGGACTTGTATGCTTGGGCATTTCGAGCATCCTATAGCGTGGCTGTGATAATACTCCATAATCCAGGAGTCGAGGAAGATCCAGCGTGTGGACCACTGATTGATTCAATTGCCATTCGAGCTCTTTATCCTCCTAAAGCAACTAACAGTGAGTTCATCATATCTTAACTCTACTGTGTTTATCTTCCGCATCTTTGCCTAATATTGGATCAGTAAAATATCAAAAAGTTACTTAGTGAACGTACTTCTCGAGCCTTTATATTTGGTACCTTGTTAGTATTAAGTTTACTTAATACTTGAAGTTACTTTCTGAAAATGTAAGTTTTTTTAGTAAATGGTGACTTTCAGAAATCATGGTTGGCAAAATAAGCAACTTAAAAAGTAAATTTGACTTACTTTAAGCACCAAAACATGCTTTAAAGTATGAAGTCCTGGATTACGGAGCTTTTTTTACCCTGATATTTTTAGAGTGACTTTTTGGACCACTAAGATTAGATATTCGTGTTCGTTTCATATTGTGAGGTATGTCACATGGTGCAACTTGTACATGTCTGTCCATATGCACATATGAAAAGGAACTTTATATTCAAATGCAATGAACTACTATTAGATGAATTATGTATAATCATCCAATATGCTCTAATTGATTGAAGAAAAGTTTCACTGATGTCGACTGGGACACTTCATACTTTTATCGTGACTATTCGGTTGCAGTATCTTATTAAAGGCTCGTCGTCGGATTAGGACTAGAAAGACATTCCCTAATCACATAATCAACTTCACTAATCCAGGGTTGTTTTCAGTATGTAACCTTTTGTTTAGATAGCGGCTATGCGTTTTGCATCATTAATGCATGATTACTGCCTTGTATTCATTTACATATCAACATCAAAGCCTGCATAACTGGCTTCAGTTAATGAAAGCCCCATGAAATAAATTGTTGGTCCATTTATACACCTCTTTAGGGTACATGGAATGAATTTTATTTTATTTTTTTCTCAAGAATGCAGAAAGAGGTAAAAGCAATATATTTTTTTGTAACTATTTTTCTAGATACAGTTATTCAGATTCTCAACATTCATCTCTTATTGCGGAATCTATGGAGTTGATTTTAATAGACCACCTCTTGTAAGAGCTTGGGACAAATTTATTCATTCAAAATAGTTTTTAATCACCCCCTCACATACGGACTAAATCATATTTTGTGAAATATTTGGTGCACTTCTGGTGTTGGCAAGCCTTGAAATCATTATCTTTCTCGGTTTTGATCTCATACTGAATCGCCTTATCTAAAAGCAAAGGACTTAATTGTGGAAGAAAATACTCTACTGTGATTAAGATTCAGCCTGATTACATTCCACTTTCTTCTTTTACTGATTGAGTAAGAAATTCCATGCTTTTGGTAGTATTTATTAGAATCAATAGATTGCCTAATCATACAACAATTTAATTTACATGAGCTGTCCTCATTATGCAGAAAACCTATTGAAAAATGCAGACTTCGAAGAAGGTCCTTATTTATTGCCTAACACAAGTTGGGGAGTCCTTATCCCACCTAACATCGAGGATGATAACTCTCCTTTACCGGCCTGGACTGTTGAATCTCTCAAAGCTATCAAATACATCGATTCTGATCATTTCTCGGTACTGTTGAACTATCTCGTCTAAAAGTTTAAGTTGTTATAAAGTGGACACGTTTATTTATTTATTTTTATTATATTTACTCTTCATCAGGTACCACAAGGCAAACGAGCAATCGAACTCGTTGGTGGAAGGGAAAGTGCCATTGCACAAGTGGCACGGACCATTGTTGGGAAAACATATGAACTCACATTTGCCATAGGAGATGCTAGCAACTCTTGTGAAGGATCCATGATTGTTGAAGCATTTGCCGGCAGTTACACAATTAAGGTTCCTTATGAATCCAAAGGAAAAGGCGGGTATAAACGTGCTGTGCTTCGTTTTAAAGCTGTTGATATTAGAACCCGTGTCATGTTCTTTAGCACTTACTACCATACAAGCAGCAAAGATTTTGCTTCGCTTTGTGGCCCTGTCGTCGATGATGTGAAGCTGCTGAGCGTTCGTAATCCACGGAGACTTGTGTGATTGAACTAAACTTAATGGCCTAAATCTTTGATCTATACTAGAATATTTTTGGCTGTGAGGAAAAGAGTGATGTTTGATTGTACTTGCAATTTACTATTAGCAATACTTCCATACAATTTCAGTATTATAATATATATACAGATGAGTGTGACTATTGTTGAATGATTTTGCAGCATAATAAACTAAAAAGAAAGTAATTGGGATGTTAATATTTTTTATATTTGTTTGTGATCGTTAAATTATATTTTTACAAAAACTAAAGTAGATATGTCGTGAAAATAATTGGATGTCAATTCCCAGAACAATGCTGGTCCCACATCAGTTCATTTTCAAATAAAAAAAAGGTTGTCTACGAAGAAAAGCTGGCATAACCTAATTTTATATGTGCAATTAAAGTGAATGGGATATCTACTGAAACATATCCTCAGGTACTGAACAAACACATATCACTTGTTTGAACCCCCATTCTTTTAGAAAAATTTATTTTTCAACAGTGTTTTGATATCATTTCAACCACACATTATTCAATAAAATAATATTACACGTAAATTCAAAATTTTTTCTTACTTTTTAATCACACATTTCCTATCAATACACTATTCAAAAATTCATTCTTTTCCAAAAAAGGGGCTCAAACAAGGGCATAGTAATAAAAAGGAAATTTTTTTTTAGAAATCACTAACAATTGAATGGTTAGTGGAGCTTCAATTTCTGAATTACTACTTGATGTAATTTGACTTGGTAACAGTATTGGAGTTGAACCTCTTAACAAAGACAGCTGCAAATTTCGAAAATGTGATATTTAAAGATAACGTTCAACAAAAATTATTGTTGACTACCTCATCAAAATACACGAGAGATAAGGAACAATTTTTGTCACCTTAAACCCTCACATGTGGTACATATTCATTTTTCATCAAAGACGTGCACAATTTTCATAAATGAGCGATAATGAGATTTCTATTTAGGACCTGTTTATGCTTTAAACATGTACATAATGAAAGTATTTGTTCGATTATAAAGTTTTGATTAATCTTTCGTGTATAAGTGTAAAACATGTTGAGTTGTCTAGTAGAAGCCTGACTTGGCCCTCATTTTTCGATGGTCGTGTGGTCTATCGAGAATTAGGCTAGGCCCACCATTATGCCTCTAGTCAGGTATAACATAACACTTCTGCCAGCAGTTAAAGACACCAATAGACTGTAAAAAGTTAAGAAAGCACAAACCTCACTAATAGCTCCCTCTCGAATGAATTTAGAACTAGTGCTTGGTACAGCATGGGAGCTGCTCTCTCCTTGTGTAACGTCACAAGATTCAGAGGGAAAACTTGTTGTCGAGGACGTGATATTGCACGGTAAATGCAGTCGGGGCATCGGCCAGACTTGAGTCGATCCTCCCGACACAGGCAATCCTAGATGATGCTGGCGACGAACATGGACTAGGTAATGCCAGTGAACTCATGCGAATGTTAATGGAAGGAAACATTCCATACATACCCATACATATCCGATCCCGTTATTTCATAATAAGGCAATACACCCACTTTTATGGGTGGATACATTTTTCTAAGATTGGAGAATGTGATGAATTTAATTAAAAGTGTTTTTTTAGAGAGAAATATGAGGGCCTACTATAACATCCTTCCATTCACTTCATTTGGATTTGGTTAGATTAAACATTCATTTCTTTGAACAAAGTATTTACATATTTAGAACCCAAGGACAAATTTAACACGATCTCTCGACTCTTTTATCTTCTACTTAAGTTTTTCCAACTGTGGGGCAAATACATAAAAAATGTCTTGTGAGTTTCAAAGACTTGTTATCATATTATTGATAAATTGTGAACGTATTGAATCAAGAAAATTGTGAAGACTTATAATTTGAAATACTTCTAAAAATTTTTGAGAAGTTAATACATTATTTTATTGTATACATATATCGTGCAATGCATGTGGGAGAAAATTATTGCCATTCATAAACAGTATTTATCGATCATCGATTATGTAATATCAATCGATTAGCCATTTTAAGTTCTATATTTGAGATGATAAATTAAGTCCTTTTTTTCTGATTAAAATTTGATTTTAATTTCAAATTAAGGTCAATAATTAATTTTAATTATATATTTTCACAACCTTTTAACCACATATTTCCTCATTTTTTATAAAATTTACTAAAAATCTAATTTTAATTTACAGGGCTAAATGAAACTATTTAAATATCACATAATTACTTATGAGTAAGTAGTAATTGATAATATTTATTTATATATTTGTTTATTTCCTTATTTTAGGTTTTCTATTATTTTAGGATTTCTTGTAGTATAAAAACAAGTCTTAATTCATAGTAAACCCTAGTTAGTTGTTAGTTTAATAGATTGTGTTTTTCTCCCTTCATTCTCCTCCTTCTCTTCTCTCTTGTTCTCTTTGAATTGATTCAATACATTGGTTTGAGATAGTTTATATAACAATTTTTCGTTTAAAAAAACTAGTAATTAAAAAGTATATTCACTATGAAAAGTGAAACTTCTCCTTTCAATCGTCAGCAAAAGCACTAAATGGGCCAAAGGGTCCTAAACTATGGGCCGTACTATTTGCTGTAATTTGCACAAGTCTAGTCAAACGGCACCGAGCACGTGAACAATGGCAAAATAAGATAGGGTAATTGGCACAAGACGTCCATACCTTTCAAGTTTATTGTGAAAAACGTACATACTTTTTATTTTTTGACATTTTTGCCCCTATTTTCACATTTTTTTTTGCTCTAAACGTCATTTTTACCATTTTCTGACATAAAATGACCAAAATACTCTTCCATTTAAACAAAACAAAACAAAAAAAAAGAAGAAATTTGCAACTATAAGCCCAAACTTTCCATATATACAAATCAGCCCAAAATTGAAAATAAAAGTCTTTCACACCTCACCCCCCACTCCCATTCCACCTGCCGACCAAAAATCTTAAATTACTTCGTTTGAATGGTGAATTACAACAATTGATTCACTCCATAGAGTCGTTACACTTTGAATTGTATTCTAGTTGGAGCAATTTGTTGATTGTAGAGGTGGAGGAACGCCAATTGAAATGGGATCGAAGGATTTTGCGTTTTCTCCGTTTTTTGAATGAACTGCCATGTTTATTATTATGCAAAATTGGGGAAGACCCATATGCTCATTGGATGTGCCATGAGGAGTAGGTACTTGAGGTGGTGGTTCACGATCATGGGTCCTACCACTGGTGTCGAAAAATTCACCTGAAAACTGCGAAATAGCTGTGTTCGAAGCTGCAACCTGTTTAGTTTGATTGCGTAAATTAAATGACATTTGAGGACCATGAACATGGACGTCTTGGTGTGTATATTCGACTGAAATGTTAGGAATGACATGAGTCTTGTTGTAATAGTTGGTGCTGTCCCGTATTTGCATTTGCGAGTTCGATATTTTGGCTTGCAATTTCTACCAAATCTATTGACATGATAATTGGATGTTGGGTGGTATGTGTAGAGGGGAGTGAGGGCTCTCCGGGGGTATGGAGGTCCGATGGTTTCGGTGGTGGTTGGTCGGAGTTTTTTTGCTTCAAAGTGGTGGTCGATCATAGGTGGTTTTTTTTTTGGGGCTAATTTGCACATATGAAAAGTTTGGACTTATAGTTGCAATTTTTTTCTTTTTTTTCTTTTCCTTTTGTTTTGTTTAAATAGAAGGGTTTTTTGGTCGTTTTACGTCAAAAATGGTAAAAAGGACGTTTGGTGCAAAGAAAATGTGAAAATAGGAGCAAAAATACCAAAGAATGAAAGGTATGGAGATTTTCCACAATAAATTTGAAAGGTATGAACGTTTTGTGCCAATTACCTAAATAAGATATTAAGATAAAACATTTTTTTTTAATCTTCCAATTATATCACGCTGTAAGAGTTGTAAAATTTTTCAGTCAAAAAATTCTCAATCATGCTACTTGTACAATTTATTTTACAACTTGGTTTACAACGCATGAATTGACAAACATCACATCCATTTATTTGAAAAACAATTTTTAAAATCAATGATCAGGATTTTTTCAACGCACTTGTTGTCAATCAAGTTGTACATAAATATTGTACAAGTGACTTTATTCATTTGACCGTGCTATAGGTACATAATGATTTACCTAACCGTTTATACCCTACTCATATCATCAAGGTAGGAATCATGACTCGACATTATTAAATACACGTGGGGACCACGTGTTTGTAAGAGGGGGTAAACGTTTCGGTAAACCCTCCTCCTTGCAAAGAGAATAATCCTTACTCAAAAATTCTGTAGCATTATTCACACGTGATGCACCCAACCTGCGATCCGACGGTTCAGATAGTCGCGTCAGCGGAAAGCAACCCGATTCCGGTACATTTCAAAACCCTTGACAAAATAAACACGAAAAAAACCCTTCACTTTATAGGGCTAAACGATACCTAACTTTCGGCCTCTGTTCTTCTCCCTCACTCCAAAAGCAGTACGATTCTATGGTAAGAATTCAAGTTTTCACTGGAATTTTTGTGTTTTGATTCGTTTAGTGTTTTGATATTGTTATATATTGTGCGATTTTGTTTGATTTATGGTGTTTTCAGTTTCTAGTTTTCCTTAAATCTTTGGTTCTTGTTTGTTTAACGTTTTGATAGAGTTGAATGTGTGGGTTTTAAATGATTTATGGGGTTTTTGATGTTTGTTCTTTACTTTCAGGCTTTGCCAAATCAACAGACTGTGGATTACCCAAGTTTCAAGCTTGTAATTGTTGGCGATGGTGGCACGGGTAATAATCTTTCATTTAGGGGAGGTTTTGATGAAAACATTAATTCGACTGCTACTTGTTTCCTTGGTTAGAGATTATGTTATTTTGTAGTTTGGGATGAAATCAGTAAATTATTGGCTTATGATTAAACCCATCTTGGTAAATTGTTTATTAATTTTCATCGGATGGGAATATAATTAATTTGATTGGTAATTAATTCTTTTGATTTTTAGTTTTTATTTTCTGAAGTTGTGGGTTTAGAATGTGTCTGGGTGCTGGCAATGGACTTTAGAATTTATTCGTGGATGAAGTGAAGGGACTTCTCATGGATTTTTGTTTGAGTTTGTGAAAGTAAAGCTTGGATCTTATTTGTTTTACAAATCACCAGAACCGTATGGATGTATATAGGGTCTGCACGTAGAAATCTTAACATGAAACCATGCTATTCAATGCAGATCTGAGTAAATTGGTATGTTTTGACCCTCAACTTTAATACACACACATGCATACACGCTTAAAAAAAAAAAAAAAAAAATGGCGAACAGAATGAAAGATATAGGCAAAGATATAAAAAACAAAAATTGGACTTTTTCTTTATTATGTCCTTGTTGCTGATTTTATATTCTTGTCACTAAAGGGAAAACAACATTCGTGAAGAGGCATCTTACTGGTGAATTTGAGAAGAAATATGAACGTAAGCCTCTAGATTAACTTTTATTTAAATCTGGATGTTTTCTGTTGCATTTTTTTTTCTGACTGGTACTTGCTTTATGTATAGCAACTATTGGTGTGGAAGTTCATCCGTTGGATTTCTTCACTAACTGTGGGAAAATCAGATTTTATTGCTGGGATACTGCTGGTCAAGAAAAATTTGGTGGCCTTAGGGATGGATACTAGTAAGTATAATCAGAGTATCTCCCATTATTTTACTGGTTTATGTAGATTTGTAAACCTTCAAACGTCTCGAGGGTTATGCCCTGCCTCTTATAGTTACATTTTGCTATCTAATTTTGCCTTTTTAAACAATATATTATGGAATATCTTTGTTTTTTCATTTTATTATAAGCACTCATATTGATGCATTTACGATTCATTGTTCTTTTCCCCTCTCTGTTATCAGTGTAATGTCTTTGATGTTAAATTTTGCAGCATCCATGGACAGTGTGCTATAATCATGTTTGATGTCACAGCTCGGTTAACTTACAAGAATGTCCCTACATGGCATCGTGATCTCTGCCGGTGTGTGCTTTCTTATACATTTTAAGTTTGCTCGTAGATTTGGTTGAGTGTCATCTTGAGAATGTCATAGTACTGACATCCCTCTGGTGCCAATTGCAGGGTATGTGAAAACATCCCGATTGTCCTTTGCGGGAACAAGGTCGATGTGAAGAACAGACAGGTGAAGGCAAAACAGGTCACTTTCCACAGGAAAAAGAATTTGCAGTACTATGAAATATCGGCGAAGAGTAACTACAACTTTGAGAAGCCTTTTCTTTACCTAGCAAGGAAACTTGCAGGGTGAGTATCTTTAAATCTTTACTACTACGGATATTGGTAACACACACAGTTCACCAGCATTTCGCAGGACCTCTCTAATGGTATACTATTTGAATGAATGCTGTTTTTTGGTGGCTGTGTAGGGATCCTAACTTGCACTTTGTGGAATCTCCTGCTCTTGCTCCTCCAGAAGTACTGATAGATTTGGCTGCGCAACAGCAGTAAGGATCTCTCTCTTTTTCCCCCTAATGAGCTGAAACCTTCGTGAACCATAGTAGATGCTAGGATCATAACTATCTTTGACTTATTCTTTAATATGGGCATATCTTATAATAACCTTTTTCTCTCTTATTTAGTCAATATCTTGAGAATGATTCATGTCGACTGTTCTCAGGCATGAGGCAGAGCTTGCTGCAGCTGCCAGTCAACCCCTTCCAGATGACGACGATGAGTCATTTGATTAAATTGATCATAGTCTCGATGATGCTTTGTGGTGCATTCCGCTCCATATGATGATGGTTTCCCAGTTTTCTTGCCTGATTTATGAGATTCTTGTGTCAAGGATGTCTGGTCCTGAAGTGTGAGATTAAATGGTATATGTAGGTGTTTTTTAACTATTGATGGATTTTGATCTTTTTATTTGTTTGCGGGAAGATGTTCTTTTTGCTATGTCTTCTGATTAGGTCCATATAAACATTTGATATCCTTATGGTTACATATGCTCTGTTTCACTTTCGGGATTTTGTTTCATGGATGCACTCGATATCCCTACCCTCTTGCTTCCCAGTAGTTTGCTAATAGCTATATTTTTTGTGGTTCATGTGCGAAAGCTCTCTTGTAAATTTCATGAGTTTCACAGATTAGGCTGAGGTTATAATGACGGGGATACTTTTAAAATTAACCTGGTCAAAGCATGTAAATTTCACATTGACTTCTCAACAAAGGGATACTATGAAATTGGCCTATCCAATGTTAAAAGACAAAAATACCCTTAAATACATTATACAATTACAAAAGATGATTTTTTTAAAAGACAAGAATATCTTTTTACTTAACAAATAAAAATCAAACACTTCTTACATTTCTTATCTGTATGCTCCAATATAGATGAATAAAACACTCTTATCCTTCATTTACTTCAACTGCAGAAACTTAAAAATTTATCGAAATCAGAAGTGGAAAAATTTGTGGACATTAATCTCGTCGGTTCGGTAAGTTTATATATGTAAATTTAATCTTGTTTTCGCTAAATTATTGTATATTTAAATCGATAAATTGTATTTCGATATTTAATGATTAGTAGAAAAAAATGTAATAGATCTGTAATTTTTAAAGTATTTGATCGGAAAAAATTCATTTGCATATTATGCCAGCGTCGGTGAATCGACTGTTTAACTGTTTGGCGGGCTGTTCTGGCTGTTTGCTAACTGTTTTCTCCTTTTCCCCCTTTTTTTGGGTTATTTTTATTGCTGTTGATATTTTTCATGTAATTAAAAATTTCGTTTCAACATACAGATATAGTTGTAGTCCCAGTTTGTTATTTTGGTGATTTCAAATTGGACGAAAAAGATCAATGAATATGGAAATGGACGAGTGATAAATGTGGCGGTATCGCAATTTTCATATCATCAGGTACATCGTATACAGAACTCTATAATGATTTACAAAATAAGTTGAATGTTGATCCTTCTCAGTACAATATGGAATTGAAATTTAAATTCAGCGAGCATGCATCAGTTCCGATTCCACCTATGATGATTTCTTTTGTTGATGAAGTGAATTATCTGGTTAAACTGAACAATAAGCACACGACTCCTCTTTGCGTGACTTTAGTAATGAAGGATGTCGTCGAAGATGAACAAGTAGACTCGGAAGGTGAGGATGACAATGCTAATGATTTTTGGGATACGGTGGAGATAGCTCGTAAAGATGATGTGGTTATTTCAGAGATAGTTGTACACAGAATTCCCTCCGCTGCTCGTGACAACAAGAATGAAAATGCAAACACTTTTACAAACGAGGACTTGATTGGTTTATCCCGGTAGAGACATGAGTGGCGTGACACCTCGGGGGCTAGATCGAGTGGATCGTCCTCTAACTCTTCGCGTGTGGTTCCTGATAATAAGGATTTGTATGTCGAGCAACTGTTTGAAACGAAGAAAGAGTTGCAAGAAGCCGTGCATCTAATTGCACTGAAATACAATTTCGAGTTTAGAGTGAAAAAATCGAATAGGTCGTTGTTGACGCTATCATGCGTAAATGATAGTTGCAGTTGGAGTTTGCGAGCAACGAAGATGGACACGAATGAGTGCTTCGTAATTTGCAAATATACATGAAAACATACTTGTGAAGTAGGAGTTTGTTGCAATGATCACAGGCAAATCCGAGCTTGGTTTATTGGTCGACAGATAATGCACAAGTATTAGGATCCACGAACAATTCACAGACTATCGGACATCATTAACGATGTTCGTCGAGAGTACGGAGTAGTCATGAGCTATTAGAAGGCCTGGAAGGCCAAAGAATGCACATTGGAGGATTTAATGGGCTCGACAGAGGAAATGTATGTTAAATTGGCCAGGTATTGTCATAATATGGAGAAAACTAATCCTGGCTCGACATTTTTTATTGAGACGGAGGCCGATAACTGCTTCAAATTTTTCTTTATAACTCTTGGACAATGCATTCGGGGATTTCGAAATGTTATACGACCCCTAATTCTTGTCAACGGTACAACTCTGAAATCCAAATACCAAGGCCAGTTGATTATTGCTACATGTCAAGATACCAACATTCAAATTTACCCTCTTGCATTCGGCATAGTTGATAACGAGAATGATATGTCGATGCATTGGTTCTTCACAAAGCTAAGGGAAGTAATCGGAGAAGTTGAGGACCTTGCATTTGTCACCGATCGGGGACAATCTATAATAAATGGTATTGCTGAAATTTTTCCTGATGCACATCATGAGTATTGCATGTACCATATATAAGGCAACTTGAAGACCAGGTATCGGGGCAAAGACATCATTTCATTGTTTAGGAGAGCAGCCGAAACTTACAGTATTGAAGAGTGTAATAGGTATATGGTTGAAATAGGAAGCAAATCATTTCAGGCATGGGACTATCTAACGAAAATGGGAATTGAACATTGGGCGCGCGCATATTTTTCAGGACGTCGATATAACATGATGACGTCAAACAACGCGGAGTCTCTTAATGCATTATTTAAGAGGGATCGAGAGTTATCCATTCTCGCACTGATTGAGAATATCCGTACGAAGCTGCAGCAGTGGTTTCACGATCAACGTACGGAATCACATAATTGCACAACCGTGCTAGCCCCAGCACAAGAGGTAAAGCTCTTCAAGGTTGCAGAGGCTGCGAGAAAGTTAAATGTCGAACCACTAGACGAGTCGCGCTTCTATGTGGAATGTGCACGTCATATGGCATATATGGTAGATTTAAGTGATGGAACATGTACTTGTAAACAATTTCAGTTAGAGAGTTTTCCATGTGAGCATGTAATTGCGGTGGCTATATATCGAAGATTTGCAGTGAGAACATTGTGCTCTCCTTATTACACTGCTGAAAATTGGAGAGCTGCGTATGTTGAAACCATATTTTCGCTTCCAAACAAAGCCGAGTGGGAAGTTCCTGATCATATTCGCTCGTTCAATACATTGTCGCCACCTCTCATTGAACCACATGGTCCTGGACGTTCAAGAACTTCTAGAATACCATCTACCGGAGAGTTTTCCCGATCGCGTAGGTGTAGCAGTTGCAAATCAGTAGGACATACTCACCAATTTTGTACAAGTCAGGTTTCCCTAAATGACAGTTAGAGCATTGTATATTTCCATTGAAATGAAAACTATTTACATTGAAATGAATAGTATTTACATTGAAATGAATAGTATTTATATTGAAATAAACAGTATTTCCATGAATAATTACAAAAAATAATTACAAATATTAAGTACAAAAATATTTACAAATAATTTATGGATCAGAATTAAATTCGTATAAATCACACTCTAACTTATTTCGCCAATTCTGTATCCATGACTGGTTGATTCCATCAACCTTATGTGCTATACTCAAAAATTCTATGTATTTGATTGTGAAAATCCCACAATCGCCCCTGCAAATGAACAAATATGTGTTAGTTCGGTTCCAATTACGTACGAACTGATTACTAAAAAAAAAGATTACAAAGACTTACGATATAGATTATCTCGTCGTCGTCGTGTCCTGCACGATAGCTAGTTTGTTATCCACAGTCAAGCCACATAATAAGAATGATCATAGTCATCAGCTCTAAGATCTACTCGAGCTGTCTCTGTGTCAGACATGAATGATTGGGGTCATACACATATATCGTCGAATTAGTGAATACGATCTCCAGTGCAATACGGTGCTGATTCGCGATAACTGAAATGTACAAATGCTTAAACCCTCCCATGACTTTCCCCCAACACTCGGTGACAGCTCGATGACCCACTCGAGCATATACGTGGGAAGCACGTACTCGTTACCTAGAAGTTGGAGGGACTGATACTCAATGGTAACGGCACAGAAGAACTCGGTGTTCAGTATAAAGCGGCCAAGCTTATGGAATGATTGTGGATATCTCTCAACTCGATCACGCAACAAGTCCATGGCCATGTCGATGTGCTATATCAAGGAAAACAAAGATATAAATACTTATTTCATTTACGAAATTAAACATAACATATACAAAAAGGAACATTAACACTTCACTTACATCTTCGGGGGAGCTAAGCCCCCTGAGTGGTGATATCATGGAACCACTTGTATGCGTCCAATATCGTCCTTCCGGCCATCATGTACGTGACTCTGGAAATAAAATAGAAAAAAAGGTTAAACGAAGCATATACGAGTAATTCTAGTCTACTAAATTATACAATACTTACTCGAGAAACATTCTTTGCCACTCAGCCTCGAATGCTTTCCACTTCGAATGGTCGACCTCCGGGAACAGATTGGGGTACTTCTCATCGACGAACCTCCTCCTCTTCGCCTTAGCCGTGAAGGGAGAGACGACGTACTGTGACGGCACTCTCGACCTCTTGTTGACCACCATCTCCGGCATGTCAACAACATGCTTTTTTGCCTGATACACTACCACTTCCTCCACCCCAGGGCTCGTCACCTCCTCCATCCCCTCATCTGCCACGGTCTCCGACAGGGCCACTCCCTCATCTGCTAGTCCAACATCTGCCTCTATCTCCATCCCCGACGGAGCCACTCTCACATCTGCCATTGTCTCCGTCCCCGATGGGGCCACTCCCTCATCTGCCTCCATCTCCCTCCTCGGCGGGCCTTCCTCCTCTGTCACTACTTCCGTCCCATCGCGCTCCACGGATAAAATAAACGATTTCTATACATCGTTATCATGTATGTATGACTGTCGGAGACCCCAATCTCTATTACCCCTATCCCTATCACCCTCTCTATCACCGTCTTCGTCAACCCATCGCCTATCGGCTATATCACCCCGAAGTGCTGTAATCTCATTTGAGAAACCTTTGACCCTTCCTACCAACTGTCATCCCAGATCATCAACCCTCTCTATCATCTCTCAACACAGCCCGTCGACCTGCCCCTCTATAAATCTGCTCAGACAGGCGTACAAGTCATCAAAATAGTGCCCCTGACTACGTGCGGGAAATCCACGTAAGAGGTCTCTGGACGGGGGAGGCGGAGGAGAT